CTGGGTACTACTGTGCAGCAGTCATTATGACCCCAATGCCTCCCACTCCATCAAACAGAGGGTGGGGGGGCGGGCCAATGGCCTGAGGGTCGCAAACGTGCGACCCCTACGCCCTGCAGAAAGAAAGAGAGAGAGAGAGAGAGAGATGCAGAGAGAGAGAGAGAGAGAGAGAGACAGAGATGCAGAGAGAGAGGGCCTTGCACGCCTCACATGCCGAGGGAGAGAAAGAGCTGACGGGCTTTGTGTTGGCCCCGCGGTATGTTGCCTACGCATGTGGCTAGTAGGATTAGCATGTTCAAGGTGGCGTAGCATCATGCGAATTTCACACCTGCATGCTAGACGCCAGGGCAAAACTCGCCCCTTTTGCCTGGAGAAAGAAGCTTATAGACTGGTACCATGGACCACTGATTTCCACGTCTGACTGCTGATATACACTTGATATACCCTACCGGGGAAGAGTATTACGCAGGACGCAGGACTGAACCCGTAAGGCTCTAGTCTTTAGTTCGAAAAGCAAAAGCATGAAAGAGGCGTGCGCGGAGATCTTGGCCAAAGGATTCCGTCCCTTGGCCCTCACTGATGCTAGGGCTCGCAGTGGATTTGGAGCTTTTGCGCGCATAGGTACTTTGGGGTTTGAGGACGTGGGACAAAACGTGATGGTTTCGGCTTTCGTGTTGTCTAGAGGAGTCCAGGTTTCGGTAACCGAGCTCATAGACGAGGGCTGCACGGGTCAGCTGATGACTAATCTTTTCGCTTCAATGCAGGTTGCCTCTATGACCGGAGTCTTCTGGGATGTGATGGCGCTCCGGTTGGAGCCTACTATGATGACTCCTGGGGAGGCAGCAGGGTTAGTGATTCAAGCCCAGGTGTCTGGGGTGTGAACCCTCCAGATGCAAACCCCAGACCCTGATGTTGGCCTTCTCAAAGACCGCAGACCCCAAACTGCAAACTATACACTTCAGCCTTCTCTCGAGGAGTTGCCAGCCGGGAGGGCTACGGAGAGCTCGGTTGCCGCAATGCGGACTTCGGAAATGCATGCTCCTCGGAGTCACCCTTATCCCTTACAGGCACGGTCTGTGGCATGGCCATATCGACCCAAGGCTGCAAGGGGCTTGATATCGCTTACGGCACCCTCCTCTGCGGAACCTACTTGAATTTGCCTATAACCTTATCGAAAGACGTAAGAAGCTCTAAACACTCCTCATGCACAAACGCAGGCCCCATGAAGGACCGACCCTGCTGTAACGTTAAGGGGACCTGCGCCAAACATGCACCGGCTAACCGTTCGGAGCCCGTAGCCTTCGGTGCCCAGCAAGTTCAGCACTCGTTCCGAGGCTACAATGACCACCATTACCACTTCGCCTACTACGTTGTCTCTGCTGCAATCCTTGTGAAGCTGAAGCCAGAGTACGCGACCAACGAGCCCTTCGTGTCCTTCGTGGAGACATTGATGCTTGATCCGTGTTGAATCCAAAACGAGTCTGTGTACGCTCGGGTCGGCAAGTTAGGCTCGACGCTGATGCTTCCTAGCCCGGTTTCAGGTTTTTTCGGCCTAGAGTCGGGGGGGCCTTCGTCGTGGCGGACCTTTGTTTACAGACCTGAGAAGGTTTTTTTTTTCGGATTGTGATAGATGATTTGCGGCTGCCTGCTGCCGGGCAGGCCCAGAAGTTGGAGGGACAGCACATCGAATCCGAAATCCACGACCTGCTTTGCCACTAAAACCTGCCAATGCCAGTGAGTGCTTGCGGTATGGTGTTCCAGCCTTAGGATTTCTCCGGGTGTGCATTTGCCGTTTTAAGTTCTCTCTAAGTGTTTTGTGTTTTTTGTTGGTTTCCAGACGCTGACTTCCCTAGAAATTCCATTTGGGTTTGGTTGTTCTGCTTGGTGGTGGGCAAGCCTCAGAGGGGTAGGGAGAAAAGAGGCTCCCCCGCGAGGAAAAGTCATCATAGCCCTAAAATACCTTAAGCAAGAGAGGGCTTCACTCTCCATAAACTACGGTGCAACCTTTCTGATCATCTCACTCCGGCAGCTTCGACTGTGCCTGGCCATGCCATTGCTGGACTCATCAACATGTCATATGATGTAGGGGGACTGAGATGGCTGTTTGTGGAACTGTCGGTGTCTAGCTATCCAAAACGCTTACTGAGGCCGAAGCCCAAACCAATTCTTGTCACCAACGATGCCGATTCAAATTCCTAGCCACGCGGGTTGTTGTGGAGAACCTTTTGGGACTGGGTATGGTATTTATGGTATTTGCACCTCACGGCAAACGCTGCCTTTAAAGAATCTCCGCATAAAAGAACCAGAGACCTCCCTCCTTGAAGCTCTTTTAACAAATGGCCGCTCAGGATTCGGGACACCGCGAACCCAAGCCGGGATGACACGCATCTCGCACGCAAAGTTCTGGCATTTAACGGGCGGGGGGCATTCATCAGCCTGAAATGCTTCGGACGAAAAGCCCGCCCGCCTCCCAAAGCAAAATCTCCAAATAGTGTTGGACTTTAAAATCTGCACCCGACGGAGCAGCCTGGTTCATTCACTTCGTGATGAGGTCTTTATGATGCCTGCATCGATGTTTGGAGATTGGCTTGAGTTAGGCTTCTGCGAATGGTAGTGAGATTCGAACAGCCTCCACAAGAAGTCGAGAAGGAATCCGAGCTGGGGCTTTCTAGGTCTTCTCTGGGAGAGGCGGCCGGCAGCCTGTCGAGTGTGCAGGTACTTTCCGACCTTCCGCGCTTTCGACTGGTTCGACCTGCATCCAGCCAGCATCAGCCAGCATGCAGATCTCTGTCCAACCTCGACTCCACGCGGTGGGCCCTGAAGCCCTAACAGACTCGTATAGCAGAAGCTTTACATCAAGAGGCAGAATGTGTGGTAACTATGGGTTTGCAAATTTCTAATTCCTGAGCACCAACATGCTCTGGACCGCACAGTGCCCGAAGCCCAGGCACTCGTGGAGCCGTGGTGTCGTCCCAAGCGCCGATGGCAAAGATCAGGACTCACGAGAATTGCGATTCTTGGGGGCTCTCGGGTAGTAGACTGACTGCGTACGCGAGCGTTCTCCAGCCAGGAGTCCACTTCCGAAGAGCTTAACCTGTTGTTCCTCGGCTACATCGATTTGAGGTTGTCGGGTCTCTGCGAGCCCGGTGTCACTTTGGTTCTTCGCACAGGTCTTCCCCCTATTTGAGCTGAGGTTTCGCGAAAGGTGCTTGGCTAGTGAGGGTTGTTGGAAAGCATCCAATCAGAACCTGCCCGGTCGGACTTGCTCTGCTTAGAGTCGCGGTTACTGTGGAAGGAGATACAGTCTTACCGCTTCTCCCGTGCGACGCGCCATGCACATCATCGCCTGTCCGCCACATGTTGATAGGTCCCTCGTCAGGCCATGCATACGTCTTCCCGGGATACCCGCTCTCCTTTCTGGTTTTTGTGTGTGGCCGAGGTATGGAATCAAGCTCTGGGGCTCCGTCATGGGAAAGCCTGTGCTGCGAGACCTCGGGGTCGCCTGCCAGCCCTGTTTCGGCGTCTTGAGAAGTGATGCTAGACAGCCGTATGAGTCCCGAGGCCCGAGACCTGACCTCCTGACCTCCTGCAATCTGAGAGCCAACTTAAACACTTTGTGTGAGAGATGGGGTCCGTTTACGTCAACCACCCTTGCTAGAAACCCACCCTTGCAGACGGTGGACTTGCTTGGATCGGTCATCACTTTGTCTTTGCACCTTGGTCGCTTCTACTTCCCAGGCGACCATGCTTGCCCTCTGTGCCTTGACTGTGAGGGAGTTCTTCCTGATGAAGCACCTCGGCCAACAATTACAACCTAGCAGAGCGCAAGCAGCTCAGCGATGTTAGTTGCCTAGACGCGGCTTGATGCTGACAGGGGAACCAGCGTACTCCCAGGACCCTGAACCTGGATGCAAGGTCAGACAACATTCACCACCCAGCGGACTTTGTCACGAATCATGTGACCGGCATCTTCTTTCAGAACAAGGCCATATCATTCTGTTCGGATTCTTGCCCCAAGCACCCTAGTCCGATTACTGAGCCTTCTGTTGGAAGGTCGATTATGCTACTTGGTTCGGCTGGCGCTATGAGCCCCTTGGATTCACGTTTGCGTTGCGAGACGTTCCAAGTCTGGCATGGTTTTGCTTCTGCTACCATCCGAAGTACCTCTGCTATACACCTTGCGAGTGACACCTTTCGGCCAAGCTAGAGCTCTGCATCTAGGTGGATTTTCTCCTCGTCCGTTCACCGATTTTCACAGCATTGACCGTGATGTCAAGGTACATCCATGGCATTCAAATGCTTCCGCTGTCTCCAGCTCTGCTCCTTTCGCGAACGACAGAGTTCTGCACCCAGGACGTGCTTGCAGTAGCTGCGCCAGATGCGGCGAAGCATGTCTAGGATGGATTGCCGGATTGAAGGCGCACGGTTTCAGGGCCGGCATGCTATGTTCAACTTCTGCACGGCCAAGAAGCTGCCAAGATGCAGTGGCTTCTAGCCTGCCAGCGTTCAGATCCACGGACAGGTAACAGGTTTGCGAATCTTGCGTAGATGGTTCCATAAGTCCACGAGCCCAAACTCCTGAAGGCTGCTTGCACGCTTTGTAGTTTCGCGGCTGCGTGCACGACTGGTCCTTGATTCAGCATGGATTAAATCAGCCATGGGTAAGTCTAAACACCCAGCGCTCGGGGCTCTATCCTTCATACAAACACCCCGCGTGAAGGTGATCGTGCTGCCATGCCTTCTCCATTATTTACCCTGAGCTGTGTGGCTGAGCTCCCACAGGTTATCACGATCTGCCCAGAGTGAAATGCTCTGGAATCCGAATTCCAAAAAGGCATGTGCATTCAATGAAGCCCAATCATCTAGACGCGTGGCCTCAGCCCCAACAGGAGTGGAACAACATCCTGTCGCGGCTGGCTTTGCCGTCGACCGATCCCTGGTCGTCGATCCTGCGCCTTGGTCTCCTTCCACAGCTTGGCCATCTTTGTCTTGCCTTTATCTCTGCGTCGTCCTTCTCCTGCTCGACTCGCCTACTACAGCTACACGATTGCGGCTGCATGCTGCTACTACTGCTTGTAGGACTCCACTATATACAAGTCTCACAGTTGGTCATGTCTCACGGTGAACGCCCGGTCGCACAAAATCACAGCAGCAAGTCGCCCACGGCCCGACCTTAGAATCTTGAACCCTGGCTGAGGCTCACGGGTACGCTCGCGCTCGTGGATCCGGCGGATGCCTACTCGAGGCTCATGGACATCGACGACGATGCTGGCCTCAAAGGTACACGTTCTAGGACTGCAGGCTACCTCTTGAGCACATGCGGTTCAGGTTTACACCTGGGTCTTGCTTCGGGCTTCGAGTGACACCCATTTTCCAGCCTTCAACACCGCCGCGCTTGGATGGTTGCTGGTTTCCGACCTCTGTGTGAAAGATTGAACTGACTGTGCAGCGCAAGCAGCTTAGGTGCGAGGGTTTGCTTAGTTGCAGGTCTTGGGAGGGTCCAAGTTTCTGGTTTGGGGGAGCTCCAAGGCCGAAGTTATTGCGGCCCAGCCCCTGAGAAGCTGCAGGGCCGAGTTGCTCAAAGCCTGAAAAGGCAAGAATGCCAAATCGTGAACATGGGTAGGTAAGACCTGTGAGTCCCAGAGGTTCGGGGCCGAAAGAGTTCCAGCTCAGGCCTTCATGGATGACGGCCTGACCAAGGCTCCTTTGGCAAGTCTTCTGTCTTCTGTGTTCATGGGGCTCTGCAAAGCCAACTCCAAAACGAGTGAAGCTGCCGCACTTTTTTTTGGGGTCTTTTCGAGGTCTGGGCTCTCTACTGGACGGCCACGGCCGCAGCTGGAACGCCCCCTGGCACTACGTCTGCTGGCACCGTCTCGACCACGAACGCCGGGTCCTCCACGCCCTCTGGCTCACGAGCACAGTTTTGGGCCTGGGTTTTCGAGCACTCGCCCTTGTCCCCTCCCTCNNCCCCCCCCCCCCCCGCCTCCCTCCCCCCCTCGCGCCCCCTACCCCCCCTCCCTCCCACCTCTTCCCCCGCCCCCCCTGCTCGCAGTTGTTGATGTGGTTGGATGTGTTAAAGGCAATGATGCCATCTCTGTTTCCCCCCCGTTGCTGATGCAGCCTGCTTCGCCTTGTTGCAGTTTCCCCTCCGTTGCTGATTGGCCGCCTCGTCAGCTCTGTCTACCTTGCGCTGCCGATGTGGTTGGATGTGACGATGCGGGAGCCCGCCTGGCGAGCTCTGTATCGATTGCCGTCATCCACCCGAAGCTATCTTTCGTTCCCCCGGCCCCGCCCCTCAAGTCAATTCGGTCTGGCGACCTTTGAGTTCAGGGGTCGGTTGTCGCTGTTGCAAGGCCACATCTATCAAGAGCTGCGTTCTGTCAGAAGGTGAATGTGTGGACACCACCCCGGACCCTGC